ACACCACAACAGTCTGCATGAAACGTTGATTTAGTCTCAGACTGGCTCACCACTGCAGTGTTAAAGTAACCACCACGCCATGGTGTAAATGTAACACTACAGCGGTGGATCCTTCCTCGCACATCACGCCTGTATTAACTCTGGTATCAAATCCATGCATGCATTGGTAAATGCCTTTGGATTTTCGGCCCACGAGATAACACCAAATGCAATTTCGGTTTTGCTTGTTTAGAAAAATGGTGCGATATCATTATCAAAAAATGGAAACGCTGGTTGAACTGCTTGAAAAAAGAAAATGGATTTAGGAAATATTGATTGAACTTTCAACAGAAAGAAAACACAGTTAAGGTGAGAATCTTAAGGGTCCCATTAAAATATTCTTGTTTAGTTAGTTGGAATTGATTCAGTGTGCCCACCCCTCCCGTGAACAATTTTCCCTGACACTGTGACCTTTTTATTTCAAACTCGAGTGTGTTTAATAAGCTTTAATTAAGCGATCTCTATGGTTTCACCTTAGTGAAATTTCCAAAAGTGGTCAGTATAATGTCATCTCAAGCAAACAATTGCAATTTCGTTTAGTTGTTTATATTGTCTATATTTTTACAGCTGCATGACTATATATAATGGTCGTTTAGCAAACTAAGTACACATAAAAGTCTTTAAGACTCACAGAGAATCGCAGACGTGCGCAAGGAGAGCCGCATAGAAAGTAAAGGAAAAGCCCCCTTTTATATTTCAAGTTAAAAAAAATTATTATATCTTTAAAATTGATAGTGATCTTGAAATAGTAATCTATAAAACTGTCGAAAACATTAAGTCCTTATTTTCTTAAGCCTACAATTTTTCTTCTAATTGCACCCTGTCTTACAATGACCTGGTTTTTTTCATTAGCTCTGCTCAGACCGGCGTTCAATGCCACTAAAAACCGAATTATGTCCGACCAAAAGAAATGCATTAGCCAGCAGCGTAAGACAAAGCAAACAGACAACAGGATATGTCGCTATCACGAAAACCGCATAATGAGCCGCACTGTGTATTACTGGGCCAAGCAAACACCATTTTTGAATCAAGAAGGTAAAAGATGGAATTCCGAAGACGCGTGCATGATGGCGCTCATTATACGATGAAAAGTCCTGAGTGGGATGACCTCATCAAGCCCGCGTTGCCAAGTTCATTCAAATTGGCGGGAGACGAATAATATGCATGCTCCCACGATGCATCACGATGCATGCTCGTGTACAACATTGGATCTGCATCATGTATTTATCTGCACAGTCGCAGCTACGTCTTTAATAAAAAATATGATATACATTTTTTTATCTGATGGTACTGATTTTAGTTTTCGCATAATCGTTTGAGTCCTGCCGAAGATAATGTGATCTCGTCCATTCACAACTGAAATTCACCTTCATTTTGTACTGAATTATATGCCTGTCCTGCGTATTCGCCGGTATACTTGTCTGATGGAATTTCTTGTAAATTAATGAATGTAATTTATGGTGGCAACAAGAAGACACCAGAAAAATGGTATTACCAGGGGCTGATGAACGCGTGGTTATTATTGAGATGCGATCTGAGTCATTGGTATAAAGGGCTAGAAGTTATCACCATTTAGCATTATTACCGAACCACTTCGAATTCCTCAGTAAATATCTCTGATAATTATATCAGAATAACATCATCAGAATGCGTTTTTGATTAATATTTTTGGGTTTGTTTTCCGATAAGCTAAAGAGCTTGGACATTTGCTATAAACAAAACTGCCATTTGTTGTCACACTGTGGTGACAACCAAGAATTATAGGCTCAAAAAGCTAAATACACACCATGGCCATGCATGGTATTTCATCGTCTTTTCGAATGGAACTGTTTTGTTTATAATGGGGGTGGCTAAACACCTCAACGCTCACAATTCGATGTGTTGACATCACTCCAGTGTTACGTCCAGACTTAAGTGTGATTACAATAGCATCAGTAATTTTTGCTAACTGGCACAAACCTTAGCTAGGTTCCCACAGGCCCTTTCTATTACCTTTTTTCTTTTTCATTTTTCTTCGCATCCAAGTTCCCACTGGAAATTGAATTGCAATTTACTTCACCTATAGGGCCTTCGTCTTGCTGTAAGCCATTCTGACTTAAAGCAATCAAGTCCAAACTAAACTGGTTACCCATTTCCAGCTAGAATCCATGTCAATTATTGGCCTGGGGATGTTTAGAACTCTACACTTGTCCAGTCATAGGGGGAAACAAGCTAAAATCGATAAAATTTCATCGACGCGGAGGGGGCTTCTTGTATTCCTGGTAAAACTGATCCCGTGCGGAGTAAAAATAGACGCACCGCACTTTTTGACAGCGTTATGGTGTTGTCATTTCTCTTCTAAATATCAAGACAATACCTCACAAAAGGCTCCATTTGTATTATACAATTTGTAGAACATCTTTAATATCGTGTAATGTTAATTGTTTTCAAATAAAAACGGAAAATGGAAAACGTTACTACAAAGGTCATTTTTGGAACTTTGGGCGCCGTTCCAGCTAGCGGAGCCTTCCAATTATTCGGTTTTGCTGGAATAAAGCCCGGTTCATACTCGGCGCGAAAGCGAAAGCGAACGCGAATTTGTGACGACATGGCAACTCGGACGAATTTCGCAGCGAATGTTTCATGACGTCAACTTCGCTTCGCTTTCGCATGAAGTATGAACCGGGCTTAAGACGTTGATTGCGTTTGTACATAAATGCAATCGTGCTTGAGGCTCCACTTTTCGAGCGTTTACGCTGTTTTTAGCTGTTATGGCATTGAAAGTGCGAATGTTCAAAGCTATGCATTATGCAAAGATACAGTTTTTTTCCTATTTCTGTTTAATGTATGCTATACAAGGAAACACAACCGAAGAAAATTAGATGTTGACTAGCTGCTGTATACTGCCCAAGAAATGCCGAGGGGAAAGACAGGAAACGTATCCAAATTTTGTAAGGAAAGAGTGACTTTTACTCCCGAGGCAACAGGTTATCGGTAATGGCTCAGCTAGACCGAAGCACCGCGCGGCGCGGCTGCCCTGCGCGGGCGCGCGCGCCACATTTAACCCCCCTGGCGTAGCTGCCGCGTCCACGGTAATCAAGCCTCGCTTTATTGATGGCGGTCATCATTTAGCCACCAGACCAAAGTAAAAGGAAACATGCAACCACCTGCAAAGGTGGTCCGAAGGGGGACGGGGAACGCCGTGCGACATGCCCCCGTCTCGCAGCACCAACGCGGTTTAAGTTATTGACATTGCGTTGGCTCATAGCTTGAGGGGGTCGAGCCTATAAAACCGTCATCTACTCCTCAATCGCGTGAGTTTATATAGCTTGAAATGTGTTCCGTGTCAATTTTTGTGCCTTTTTACTCCGAAGTTTATTTATAATGATTTTTGGAGCCTTTTAAAGAAAAAAATCAGGAACATCAGAACGTCGACTCACTCGGGAAAAGTAGTTTTGTAAATCATTAAGTGTTAAAAGTGCTATTTTAAAGTAGAACTTACTTTTTTTTTTTAAAGCAACAGGTTGTATTTTTTGCCAACTTTGAGGGGCCCAAGCTTCATCCAGTAACAACCAAGTTGATCTAGTTGATCTGTTTTTACCAAACATCCACGAAGCATCATTCATTAAACATATTTTGTATGATATACCGACGTTTCCTAAGTAGAATCACTTATGAAGAATGATTTTTTTTTTACCGCTTTTTTGAAACGATTGTCGCTTACTCTTTAAAAAAAAAAAAACCACGGCAATTCAAAAGGTCGCGACAAAAGCTGCGTGAATTCTCAAGCTATTCCAGTTTATTTGGTTTGTGCAGGGCAATTGTAATTAAGGGTAATTCGATTGAAGGTGAATCGTTTAATTTTGATCTTTGTTGTTTCTCAGTTCTAGTTTGTTAGATCTAGGCTTTGATTAATATTGCAAAGCTGCCGCTGTACTGGAAAATGTTTATTTAATTGTGCCAGGAAAACATATCTCAGTCATTTGTGACTATTTAACATATTAACTATCGGTTTACGATGATGAGCATTTCTGACGATTATCGAATTCTAAATAATCGATATTGCTGTTGCCACTGTTGTCGTCATTGCCGTTGATGACGTAAATTGTTTTCCAAGGTTGTTCTCGGTGGTTGTTGTTGTTGTTGTTGTCGTCGTTGCTGCCGTTGCTGTCGTTGCTGTCGTGCTGCTGCTGCTGCTGTTGTTGATGCTGTTGTTGTTGTTGTTGTTGTTGTTGTTGTTGCTGTTGTTGCTGTTGTTGTTGTTGTTGCTGCTGCTGCTGCTGCTGCTGCTGCTGCTGCTGTTGTTGTTGTTGTTGTTGTTGTTGTTGTTGTTGTTGTTGTTGTTGTTGTTGCTGTTGTTGCTGTTGTTGTTGTTGATGATGATGATGTTGTTGTTGTTGTTGTTGTTGTTGTTGTTGTTGTTGTTGTTGTTTGTTGATGATGATGATGTTGTTGTTGTTGCTGTTGTTTTGTTAACTTTGTTTCGTTGTTTTTACTTTTTTGATGCATTCTTGTGGGTGTTTTTAATACATGTAGTTCCAATTTGCCAGTCTCCCTACTCACTGGAAATTGCTTTCAATGAAACAAATGGGTCATGAATGATTGATTCATCTTGTTCAGCCCCACCTTAACTTATAACAAAGACTAATAGCAAGCGCAGGCCTACAAACTGACGTAAATTGTGAGGAAAGATATAAAACGGCAGATGTTTTTCATTTCCTTGAAGGAGCAAAATAATAATCAGTCAAAAAAATAACTCGTCACCTCCTAAGTTGCAATAAAAATGTCAAGAAAACTAAACAGACGGGGAACAATTCGACCAATTAGATTGGCGGATTGAGACGCAGCGTCGCGCGCGTTATATCCTACGAGGCGAGCTGTTTTTAGACTCGCAGGCCAAAGTCGTGGAAACTGAGTCATGTGCTGGTAAGAAAAGCATATATAGACCGCCAGCCAGTCACCGGTGCTGTCATAAAGACGTGCGAGCCTGAAGAGGACGCTTATAAGTGGCCGGCAAGAACTGCTCTTCAGAAAGTCGAGGTTTTACTTGGTTTGTTCAGTCAGCAGTGTGTTTCGTTTTTTTGGCGGAGTCGGCATGGAACGGACAGGTAATGTGGACTCGGTGCTTGAGAACATGAAACAAAAATAACATCTCCCATCGGGAGTGGTCTATAGGTTCTTCATCACTTAGGGTTTATTTGTTAAGGAGCGTCGTGGCAACTTACCACGCATCGGTTAAGTATTGCCAATCACTGGACAGCGGTGTAACAACATTTACATTTCTTCGCTGTATATAAATGTCGGAAGTGCCAACTGTAGTATCTGTTGAATTGTAGGTGCAGTTTATTTTACACTTTCCAAATTTATTTTCGAAATGTTAAGGAAGTGCTTATTCTAAATTGACCAAACCGTTAACAAATTTATTTTGTAGTCAAAATGCATTTTTGGTTTAAGATAAATGCGTTCTTATAATGAAACATATATAGGGATTTGATGTTAATGCTATATAACTCTTTCCTTGTTGGTCATGACGCAAAGATGTTCTTTTTTCACCGACGAAATCGTTTATACTTGATCATATCGATATTGTTTTGTTTTTTTTGCAAATATGAAATTTGTTTGTGTTGTACAATTAATGTATCACCGCACATCAACCAACCAACCCACTGGACATTGGGTGGTCAATTTATCGAGTTGATCAATGCACTAAAACACAATTGTAGTAATTTTCAGGTGCATAAAATTATCATTTGTAACACTTTCCGTTGGCTGATTTTCAAAACCTTTATTTTGTCTTCACTGCAGTTCTTACATCCGATGGGTCTATAATTAAGGCACAACACTATCCGTACTTAATGTGTACCTTTGTAAATAAACCTTTGATTATCGAGACCTGTTTTAATATACCTCATAAGTAGTGAGAGTACCAAATATTTTGTGGGACGCCGCAAGGGTAAATATAGAACAGGTCTGTCAAGATCACTTCGTGACTTCTGACTTTACAAAGCTCTCCAAGGAATGGTAAATTGATGTCAGTAAGGATCATGGTTGTTTGCAACATGGCGTGCCACAGCCATAGAACATAAATGATGATGTTAGTGTCTCAAGCAGCATGCTTTATTCAATGTGTGCCTCTCATCTATAAGAGAAGCCGTAGCTGTCAAAACAATGACTCGATTTTTAATTTTCTCGTTATTGATTTTTTTCGGGGGTTCCCAACGCAGGAATTTATTGCGTTCTTCTAGCGCTACTGGTACTGGTGGCAGTGCACACGTGTTACGGGCAGAAGCCAGATCTGATCATACGCTACGGCAAGTCCTACCCAGCCCGGCCGCGGGCCTTACCCAAGCCATCCTTCTACGCTAAAAGGAACCAAGTACTCCTGCAGGACAGTAATGGCATCTCGCCCGAGTACCCTGGGGAAGAGGAGACGGGCGCCGCCAAACCTGTTATTGATGGTAAGTATTGTTGCTATTTTTTGTATACCTGTATAAAGTGGACGTGACATCTTACATAGTTGACCTTATTTGTTTGTCTGAACAAAAAAAAAGGTTTAAAGTCGGACTCGAACCTGCAAACTCCAGGATACCACACTGGCGGTCTACCAAATGAGCTATGACTATAATGTCGCATATCTCTTGACTTAATGACTTTCACAATGGGTATATGACCTAATGAAAATTAAGTCAGATATCATTGGAACGAACAGAAAACTTTGGTTGGAGTCGAACCCTTGACCTCCAGAATGTCACACTGGTACTCTATTACCTGCCACTTGACTTCGTAACTTTCACAGTGCAAACTAACCAAACAGTGATTCGAATCAATAATTAGGGGGAACATGGAAAAGTGACTTAACTAAGGATAGGAATTTACAACCTCTGAAACACCACACTGTTGGTTTACCAAAATAATCTATTCATCCTTAATGCATTGATCTCCACCAGTCTGCCAGTGTTTGACACCGAGGGAGGCTCTTGAATTGGTTTTTCTTTTGATGTTTTAAAATTGTTATCAGTGGCTAAGAACAACTGTCTCCACCCTTCCTCCCCCCCCCCCATCTCATGAGCCTCTTCACTCACAAGATCCGAATGCCAAAAGTTGTCTCTATATATCTCCCAGACATTTTAGGTGTCCCCTCTCTGTTTTTGTATATAGAAAGAACTGTATTTAACAATAAGACCTTCATTGCAAGCACCCTTCTTTTTTTGGTAATCAAAAGTTATTATTTATCGCGTCTTGAAACTGTAATTTCATTGGTCTAGAACGTCCACGTGTCCAGTCCAGTCTATAAAAAATAACTGTTTACTTCATATACACTGCGTTGCAGTATTAATATATGCAACGCAGTGTATATTAGTACAATGTATATGCACTGCTATGCGCGCGGCCCTCGGGTGTTAAAATGTCATATCCCACATCACAACAGTCAGCATTTATCAAAAAATCAACATTTTTGATAAATATGGAATTGGCAGGTGTAAATTCTGAACCTGTGATCTCTATAGCAATATTCCGGTTGTATACCGATTGAGTTATACACCCCTCGTGGTGGTGGTGGTCTCCTAAATCTGCCACTCTGCTCCTGGTGCGCTATACAGTCATAAACTATAAACATACACATGTCATGTAGGGAGTGAGTCATGCTCGAAGTCACTTGACAACGTCACGCCGATACACTTAAGTTCAAAGAGTAGCATCCATTTTGAAATGTTTTGGTTAATTAACCTGTATCTTCCCCTGATAAATGCATTTCTTTCTGATGCTTTTTCTGTAATATTCAACCATGGACATGGTGGCAATCTAGTCAAAAGTTCAAGACGCACATGAGTCAAATAAGCATATTTCGTATTTGTCCAACTCTGTGTATGGTGCCATGAAATTTAGGATTGATAGTGCAACTGATAGCTCTACTGTGTGTAATTATGTCTACTGCGAAAGGAGAGAATTTCGAGAAAGTAATGTTGCAAAGATTGACATGAAAAGTTAAAACGTGAACATCACTCACACAACAGATTTTGCCATGCACAAAACCTACCATACGTGTAGCAATGATGCGAACCATCTCCATGCATTTCATTATTATTTACCATAGCATGTTTCGTGCATCGCAGTAATAGATATAATATTTAGATAAGTACAATGAAATTACATGAGGATGTATCAATAGAAAGCGAATTAAAGCCATTAATTTCTCTCATGCCTGGGACGGCTTCTTTGAATTTCCCTTTTCAGCATTTCTTGATTGTATTCCATGTGCCGTCGCTCTCCACAATAAACGTCGTTTCTATAGCAAATATCCCAAAACGGAGACAATAGAGATGACGTAGGCTCCCTAATTAATTGAAATCTCTCGGGAACTCAAACCACGTCATATGGACATCGAAATGACAGATGTTCGTATAGCTCCCTGTTAACAATATAATAACCATACGCGTGGAAGAAACCTACGGAAGCAGTTTTATCCTTAATAGCAAAAACAAAACCCGGCATTTCTATGGACATTACCAACTGGGTCCCATAAAGCAGAGATGACGTTTTTCTGACCTATAAAAGTGAAGCGTGTCTCAAGTTAAGTACATCGACGTTCTCATCCATAACTTAAATATGACAGTGGTGGCGCGGAAAGACACGAATTAATTGCCAAACTAAAGTAGAATTTTTGATGATTGTGGCGCTGCAGAGTCGAAAACAATTTAAAAAAAAATTAAATCAGACATTAAAGGAAAGTAAAAATACGCAGGTATTAGAAGCATTATAAAGCGAATGTAAACAAAACATCAGATTTGTTTAAAATTATATACACATACATCCTCAGAAATGCAATGAAAATTCCACATTTAAGATATAGAGAAAATTATGTAGCCTCTACATTTCAGATGATTTAACAGGGGACACAGGGGAGGCATTTTTAAGGAGCCACGAGTATGTCAGCAAAACCCGTGAGACGAAAAACACATTTTGGTTCGATGATTTAATGTCCTGAAGCTCACTGAACAACCAACATCAAAACGACGGTTGCTCTTGTTCCCCTTTTCTTCGTTGTAATTGCCCATACACGGGCTATTGATTGGTTATTTTAACACTTGCGTGTTAACAACGATCCCGCCGCCAGATTTAACCGTTATAGAAACGTCATTACACAAATGGCCAATCCTCGTCACATTTGGTCCATCCCTGTGGATATTTTCTCGAGTTGGAATCATGTTTCGTTTCTTCGACCACTTACCTTCAATGGTAATGAACGCCCGCAGCTGCTTCTCCAAGCACGGTACCGTTATAGACGCGATTCCCAGGTTTTTTTCTCCCGAACCCACTCGAGTGAACAATCATGTTAGCTAAGAATAACAGTCAAAAGTATCCATAATTCAACTGGGTCCTCGAAATTAAATTCCGATGAGTGCCATAGCGAGAACATTGGCACGCATGCAAGCCAAAGCATGTAATTTATATAGGAACTGTGAATAAAACTGGACGGGCTGAGCTTAGAGTCGTCTGTGTGGGAAAAAACTCATAGAGCAAACGAAGATTGTGGAAGTAAAAAATATGTACATATAAAGTGGACACATTCCTAGGATAATACTCTTGGTGCTATCGTAGCTTTATATCTTTTTAATTAATTCATATAATTGTTTCTTCTCATTAAAACAATCATTGCATCATTGCTCTGTAAGAAAACATTGCGACGACTGCCTGCACTTTATTAGTCTGAGTATCACATACATTCACTTGTGTAGAGCCACACAACGAACGTCTGATATATCCCAGCATGCAAAATCTATGAGACCACGCGTGCAGCCAATCAGATTTGACTTCAGAACTGTGACGTCATTTCTATCAGAAATGTGGACTAAGCTATTGATTGGTCAATTTGGCTGCCATGTTTTTTTTTGTAATACAACATCGGGTTACGGAAGACCCAACGGACTTTATTAACGAGTCGGCCATATTAAATTGAAAGCGAAGTAAACTCTTCATGTTTGGAACTTGGAGTACAAAAAGCTATGAAATAAAAGTTCATTACAAATTAATACTAGTCTGCTCTGATGAATCGTTTAAAATTTGCAATTAAACATACCCCAATGTTTTAAGCCATCACATTAAAAAAAAATGAAAGTGAGGCTTGGCACGCATTATGATCATAAAATACATGTAGTCTGGCACGACAGATGCACTCAATCTCAGCAGTTTACAATTTATATGTTAGATTCTGGGCACCCGACCAAAAATGACCTCCTCATGAATAAGGTATATAGAAGGCGCCCGCTGATTGGTCAGAATCATCTTGTTTTGCATAATTAATTTCCGAGTCTGCGCGACTATCATAGACGCTCGTGTGTAAGCGGATATTCAATAGAATAGCACTTTATTTGAATGACACGCATGAACATTAAAATGTTGTGTCAAATCAAATTAATGCATACCCGAATACAGGACTTTGCATGCTAGCAGCCGACGAAATAATCGATTGTTCACTTACGGGAAGTGATATCCTGTAAGTTTATTATTGAATTGTACGCTGATTATGAAACCCTGGGGTGATAAAATATAAATTAGATAAGGGCACTGCAGACATGTGCCTATGTTGCAACATCTTGTGTAATGCGTGTGCATGGACATTCCCCCTGAGGCCGATAAGATGCATGTACAGACACATTCATTTAAGTTAAAAAAAAAAATTAAAATTGTATTAAATATAATATTTAAACAAACTGTGTTTTGTGGTGTAATATAATGGTGACTTTTAGCTTTTGAAAGTTTAAGGTATCTGAAATCACACCAATCGCATTTTGTACAATGGCCGCTTTTACTCGAAAATTCTTTATTAGTGACGGATCTGGGGGTAGGAAGTCTAAGCTTACCCCCCCCCCCCCTCTTTTGGGCCAAAAGAAAAAAGAAGAAGAAAAAGGAACATCATGTAGAAAAATGTAGCAATGCCTGCTACCTCCCCCAGGCATAGCTGGATCCGCCCCTGTTTAAAGACGCTCACTTAAATTACAAATAAAATCGTTAAAAAAAACCCCAAATGCTTCACTGAAGATGGCAGTACATTTTTATATGAAATAATGCTTAGAATAATGAACATTTGAATAACACTTGATTTGCAATGGCCGTTTGATAGTTGATTCCAGTCCTGTGGTTACAGCTTCCTGTCCGAGAACATGTGAACTTCAAGTTTGAACGCTAATTGGAGAGTTAACCATCATACAAGCCATTAGCCCGTAATTCATCACTTGGACACTAGGACAGCTGCAATTGGCGCCAAATAATGCAACCTAGTTCCCGCCATTTGGCCACAATGACCAGTCGCACGAATTAGTACTGGAATTGCCCCTTCTTCGCCCTTTCACCACTGTTATTATAATTTATGCGCCTGCGGAAGTCGGTAGTCCGTGCCTTGTTTGGGCACTCGTCCACCTAATCAATAATTATCCACACACACAAAAATCAGCTCTGT